CCCCAAAACCCCAAAACCCCGTATTGTGCATATTTATTTGGCTTTGAAAATTGTATCATATATGAAATTAAGAAGAGATTGTGACTTAAGATATTTATTTCAATCCAATTAGTCATATAGACAATTGGCTAATTAAAAAAATCTCTCAAACATTATCAAAATCAATTATCTAATCTAGTTTCAAAAGATAGATATCATCAATTTGAGTCCCTTTCATTTACCTATCTGGTTACATAATCCTACTCATTCTAACTGTTACTATTTTCTACCTAAGTTGAATTACCGTCTTTATCCATCATGTTGCTGGAATTTCTATCATTGTAACTTCCAGAGCTCCCTCCTTTCTATGACCTATCTCTATCATTATTATGTTGCTGATATTGGTCTTTTCGGTTTTTATCATGGAAATTGCCACCTCTTTAACTTCTACTTCTACTACGTTATCTATTTCTGTCGTTGCCTCTTTAATTGTCATTTCTTCTATCTCTTGAATGCCTTCTGTTATCTCTATTCATTCTATTTCCACCCCTCCTAGATTCTGGGTCTTCTTAAACAGCCTTGTTTATGATCGCTATCTTCTCAGAAAGCTTAGGTTCAGCAGTTCTAATATCAACTTTCCTACCGTTCATTACCGAGACCTATACTTCAGTGATAAGCTTCTTTGCAATCCTATCATCAAAATAGGTGATAAATCCAAACCCTTTACTAGCCCCAGTATTTTATTCCCTAACTATTTGGGCGTCTTTTACTTCGCCATATTATGAGAAGTGTTCCCTAAACAATTGATCAGTTAGTTGGTAATCCAGACCACCAACAAAAATCTTATCCTTCACACCCTAGGTTTCTAATCTCTCTAGTTCTCTGTGCTTGCGTCTCATATCAATTCGTTCTCTATCTCTGTCTCTATCATTATTACGATGGTCCCTATCGTCTCGTCTTCCTACATTATATTATTGAATATATATTACCTTAATTTTAACCTTTCTATCTATCTTTTTCTCTCTGAGCTGCAGCAGCTTACTGCTTATCCAAAAATGAGTCAGGTGGTTTTGAGCCGTCACCTTCCCTTACCTCTATCATTCTATTTTGTATCATATGTGGTGTGGGAGGTTTTAGGAGTCTGCTAGTTAGCTCTCTCACAGCTTCTCTCTTATATTCTTTGAAAGTGACAAATGCAAATCCTCTACTTTTCCCTGTATTTTTATCTCTCATAATGGCTACGTCAACAACCTATCCGTACTATTTGAAATACTTTTCAATATCGGATTCTTTATTTGATTAGACAGTGATGGTTAATAACTTACCTTTAGCAGAGTAAGATATGCCTCCTATAAAGTATTTTGAATAGTACTCTTCCTCTGGTTATTAAGGTTGAGTAAGTCCACCAGAGCTTGTCGTCTATGGATTAACATTTCCTCCTCCAAGTTAATTTGCTATCTATGAAAGTGCGATCAGATTGCTAAACTAGCTTAAAGCACCTAAAAGTTATTGAATTTGAGGAGCAGCTGAAGGTTATTAGTTCGACTAAGCAAGTTAAAGAAGTCCTACAATTCCAGCTAGACTTTACTGCTACTAAGACTACTACTGTAGAGCTTAACCAGGCTATATCTAATTCTGATTTTGATACCCTTAAAGATTTTGTGGAAAGTTTTGAAGATTCGGTGCAGCTATAAATTGGTTATTCAAACTAGAAATCTATTAATCCTATTGGAGTATCTGTTGCTATTGTTACTGAGCTGCTTACTACCTGACAAGATTTTACAATAAATCAGCCTGATACTAACTTTATTACTGATTTTACTGGGGCTACTAGTCCTAAAAATTAGAAGATCCACCACCTCCTCCATTTACTACTGATACTAATTACTACTAAGATGCTTAATTTTGAGGCTGAGGTCCCCCTCCAGGCATAGAACCTCTCAACTACTAATTAGGTTGCTACTGATTTGACAGATTCTATTAATGCTACACTCCAGGCTATAATTAGGGCGAGGGTTACAATTATTAGCCACCTTAATTTTACATAATTTGTGCAATCAGAGCCAGATTGTCAGGATACCCTCCGCTGATATTACCTGGGGGTACTCCTCCGTTAAGGGAGCCCATTCCTCCCTAAAGCCCTAACTAGGCATGCTATTGCTGCTACTACTAGGAGAGTTAAGGCTACTGCTAAATGTTTGAGCCTGCTAGTTACAAAAGAGCCTCTAAAGAAAAGGGCTACTACTGATTACTTTATTATTAGTTGGACAAAGTGTTCATTTTTACTGATGAAATATTTAAAGATTATTTAGACTTTCTAAAACTTCAAATAAGAATAAAATTTGAATCTTGGGGTTTTGGGGTTTTGGGGTTTTGGGG